TCCGACACTCCAAGACTGCCCAAGAAGCCTCAAACCTCGCTCCAAGAGAGCCGCATAAGCCCCCAAGAGGCTTCCAAGACGGCCCACGAGGGCCCCCAAGCAGACAAGGAGGCGCCCAACACGGCCCAAGAAGGCCTCAGGACAACCCAAAGAAGGGCCCAAGAGAGGAACACGAACCGACAATTCGAGCCTTCCGCCCCAAGAGGCCCCCAAGAGGCCCTCGGGAGGCTCCGAGAGGAGGCCCCCAAGAGGCCCAAAAGAGGCTCCAGACCGGCCCCCCGGATGCTTCAAAACTACTCCCAAAAGGCCCCCGAGAGGCTTTGCACGACATCCCAACGAACTTCCAAGAAGCCTCTAACCCACAACCCAGAAACGGTGGCGGCATGGGTCGAGGGCACCAAGAGGCAACACATTGTGGTCTCAAATACGGTTTAAGCGGCGTCACCGCTAGCACCCCAGGGATCTTGAGACAGATGGCAGCGCAAACGCAGAGCTGAAAGGGACAATGCGGGAATAGACGATAGCCCAGAATCTGAAAGTGCCGCCAGATCCAGAGTAGGCCAGACTTTGCCGAGAGAAGGGCATTGAAATAGCAGCAACACCATCCCACCAAGTGTCATAAGGAAAAGCTGGTGGTGGAAATGCAGATCCCATGGAGAATGCTCCAGGCTTCAGGGGATTGGGGCCTGACGTGGCCTCCAGACTACCGCCGCATGCGGAGAGGGCAAATCCTGCCCCCCCGAGGCCAACTAAGAAAACATATAGCTTGTCCCAACCGCGTGGCCGATGGACCAGGGGCTACCTGTGACAGTTATTGCCTGGCAGCCTGGGGGGGAATTCGTTCTGTTTCCTGTCCGCGTAAGAAATCTGCGTGGTAATCTAAACGGTCGCTGGCCGGAGAAGGACGGGGACGAGGAAAAAGACGAATTGGTGCGCCAGCGTCAAGTGGACGTTTACCGACGGCGGAATAAGGGCATCCACCACTTATTTTGCACACCTTATCCCTGGGATCTCTGAGGTTCCGAACCCTCGGGTTCGTACGGCCTCTTTCGTTGGTGTGCATTGTATTGCAGTGTCTTTCACTTGGTTGCTTTCCGATGGATGTGCACAAGCATGGCTCCGCGAACGGCATTGCTCTGGTGAACATTGCTCTGCTTTACATTTAGTTGTATTGCATCGCATTGCCTTGCGTTTCATTTGCTTTGCAAGTTTTGCTTGCAATGCTTCTCGCTGCATGGCGCTCGCATATGGTTTCCATGGTACTGCGTTGCATTGGAATACCAGCGTGGGCACTCCATTCTCGTCTCTGCTGTGCATTGGTTCGCATTGCATGGTGTGCCATTGTCTGTAATTGATCTCTCATCAACCCGCGTTTTTTAACGCTTCGGTGTAATTACCGCATGTTCTAGCCATTCGCAGGTAACTACTTCAGAGGATATGTGGACTTGTCACGGCCTGCGGCTTGCTAGAACCTAAGCGCGCGAAACGCGCGTGGTTCTAGTGCATGTATAGATATGTAGGTGCACATGTATGTGTATATGTATATGTGTATGTGAATGTACCTGCAGATGTACATGTATCCGTATATACGTAATTGTAGATACACAAGTAAACGTGTATATATATATATATATATATATATACGCCTACGCACATCTATATGCATATGTATACGCACATGCATGTGTATGTGTATATGTACATCAACCTGCAGCTGCATCTGCATACGCATGTGTATATATACACATATATACGCTGTGTAAATGTATGTGCACACGCTGTGTAAATGCATGTCTATATAATTATGTATACACAGCACGGTGTGTATGTTTTAGTCCGTCTTCTGCTGGTCATGGGCATATGAAATTGGACAACACACGAGCGTCATAGTGAATGGGGCGTGGCTTCCTGGTCCTCGAAGTCCTCGATGCAATCAGGGGGTGTAGCGCCCGAAAAAAAAATGGCACGGTTGCAATCTACGTAAGTCCTCCTGCTCCTCCCTTTGCTTCTCGTGCTCGCGCTCTTCCCCCTGCTCCTCTTCCTCCTCCTCCTCCTCTTCTGCCTCCTCCTCCCTTCCTTCTCCTCCTCCTCCCTCTCCTCCTCCTCCTCCTCCTCCTCCTCCTCCTCCTCCTCCTCCTCCTCCTCCTCCTTCCCGTCCCCCTCCTGCTCATACCTCTCCCCCTCGTCCTTTTCCTCCTCCTCTTGCCCATGCCTCCTCCGCCACACCCCACCGCGACCACGGCGGGACCGACGGCTCCCAGGGGCCGGTCCCGAACAGCTCCGTCCGGACAGTTCTTCCCCAATCTGGCCGCCCCGCGTCGAACTTGGCCTGGGCGGCCTGGCTCGGGCATACCTGGGCGGTACCACGACGCACGCGCCACTTCCGCCACCGCCTGCCCGAGAGCCCCTCCGCGGCCTGGACTCCGTTTTTGACACCGGAGCCCCCAGCAAAGCGGGCCAGGAGGAAAGAGAAACGAGGGGGAAAGGGCAATAAAGAGAGAACCAGAGAGCGGAAGCGATGGACGCGCGGCCGCGGGACGTGCACCAACGGACCCCGCCGTTGGGCGCCCGAGCGCCCGCAAGAGGAAGAGAGCGGGGAAGGAACAGAAACGGTGAGAAAACGGGAGGGGGGCAAAGGGCAGGCCCAGCCAACTCAGGGTCGACCCGTCTTCTTTCTGAGCTGAAGCGGCGCCAACCTTCAGTCCCACTTGGTTTCGCGACAAGGCCATCGTTGCGTGGCCGCCGGGTTGGCCGCGCGGCGATGCAAGGGTGCAGTCGCGCGGCTGGCGCCTGCGCCCTGGGCCCCGCCGCCCCCACACTTGCTGGAGCAGCATGCGCTCCGCTCCGCTCCGCTCTCGGCGCCAAGCTTCCCCCGCCCCCCGCCCCCCCCCCACGGGGACGGCGCAGTTTCCGCCCGCCCGCTGCAGCCTTTGCCGACGGTGGCGCAGCACGTCGGGGCACCGCCCTCGGACACGCGGCTCGCCGCAGCGGGACCAGACGAGAGCGGTCCGCAATCCGAGCCTCCGCCGCGGCCCGCCCGCCGCGCTTACCCGCAGTGGGAGCCTGGCACCGCGAAGGGGGGACCCGCGATCTGCGGGCGGCCACGGCCTGTGCCGTGCAACAGTGGACAGACCAGGATGCCATCGAGCGGCCGCGGAAGACCGGCGGGAGCAGCGACACCGGACGCCGCACACGAAACCGCACACGGCGGCGGCAGCGCACGAGCGCCGACTGTCGATCCGGGGGTGCAGGCCCCACGCCGCCGAGGCCACGGCAGCGACAGCCGCGTCCTTGGCGTGGCCGCCTGGGGCAGGGACCCAGCGGGTGCCCGCTCGTGCCGCGCGGCGCGCCTCCTCGAGCGAGGCGGGCGCGAGGCCCCCGTGGGTCCGGCGCTGCCGAGGGCACGGCGGCCTTTGCTACGATCATCGCGCTGCCACTGCGGACGCCGAGCACGGAGCGAGACGTTTTTCGTTCCTGGCGACGGCGGACCTCGACCACGAGTAGGCCCTCCGATCCCAAATCCAAACAAAAACGGCGAGATCTCTGGTCAGCGGCACCTTTGAAACTAAAAAGCGGCAGAGACCCATAGATGCATCGTACAGTGGAGGCCCGTCCACAAGAAACCTTCCACAAGAAACGCATCCCTGAGACCCCAGGACGTCCATCGATTTTTGGTGTGGGAACTTCACGCTTGCCATCGCAAAACCATAGAAATCCAAGAGAAACCCAGGGCACCCTGGAGGCAAGCAAGGTGTTTCTTGGCATGGGCCTCCACTGTAACAGAATCTGGGCAAAAGGGGAGGCAGAGGGGCGTGGGGCCCCCCTGGGAGGGGGGGGAAGCCGCGGGCAGCGGAGAAGTACTGCTCAAAGCGTGAGGATATCCTGCGCGCGTGGCGCAGCATGAAAACAAGTCGTCCAGTACCCGCCTTCATGATGACATGCCCGACCCAAGGTTGCACCGCCCTTCACACAGGGAGTCCGCAGGATCGCGGCGGAGGGCGGGTCTCTGGAGAAGCGGGGCGTTGGGACTGGCCTGCGGCTGGAGGAGGAGGAGAGCGGGGAGGAGTGCGCCGCGCTGGTGGCAACCCGCGGCAAAAGACCGGGGAAAAATGGCGGGAGGGGAGCGGGCGAATGAAGTCCAAGGGCCCGGGTGCAACTCTACGCAACGATGCGCAGAGACGCGCAAAGCCGAAGGTTAGCGGCCACCCTTCCTATCCCCACCGGGGGGCCAAGGGCACGCGGGGGGGCTGCGGCGGAGGAGGAGGCAGCAGAGGGGGCTCCCGGGAGAGCACAACTCCCCACGGAGCGCGGGCAGCGTGGTGAAGGGCATTCAATCGCCAAGAATTATCCCGTTCCCGCGCCAGCAGTTCGGGGACTGCCTCTCGTGAGCCCTATGCGAATTGGATACCGCGCGACAGGGGTGTTTGGCAGGGCGGCACCCGTCCTCCAGATTTACTTGGCCCGCACCTTCCCGAATAATTGTCACATGCTTGGCAACACATTGAAATGCCGGCGGGCTTCTCCGTCAGTAAGAGTTTTTGTCCACGCTGGGCATGGAACAAGGAACAGAGGATGGGCGAGGCAACAGCGCACCCGTCGAGCGGCGGCGACGGGAGCAGCATGGAGAAGGGATAGAGACGGTGCGCGGGCTCCACGCCGCCTTTGGTGCTGCACCGCTGGCAGTGGAGGCAAGTCGCATAACCTTGGCGCCTGTACCTCCACTCGTGATGCTGCCCCGCGACGCCGGCCGCATGCCCGGCCGGAGCTGGCGGCGCCAGAGGAGGAGGAAGAGGAGGAGGATGAGGAGGAGGAGAAGGACCCATCCTCCTCCTCCTCTGGCGCCGCCTCCTCCTCCTCCTCCTCCTCCTCCTCCTTCTCCTCCTCCTCCTCCTCCTACGAGAAAGCTACGCTTAAACCGCCCCTCCCTTCGAATGATTATGGCGATCCCATCTGACATGAGAATTTGCTAATTATGCAACTCGACAAAAATAAAGGCACACCTGTTCGTAGGCGGCGGGGTCGACAAGGCATTGCACCATGGCGTTCGTAACCTCCTCGATATCAACGTCACGCAAAGGGACCCAATCCAAGTCCTTGATGAAATGGTCCTTCTCCGTGCGAGCAAGATATGCGTCGTGATGAACGTGATTCGCATCCAGGAGCATCTGGAGGGGCAGCAGGTAATAGAAGAAATGCGCGTTTGGATTGGGAATTCCAGTTTCGAAAGAGGTGCGCCAAGGCTTTGTACTCTCCAAATCGTAATACGTGGATACCATCATGTTGCATGTGGTCGCGTCCGAGAAGTACAGGTTCGCCCATGCAGCTCCGTGGTAGCCGAGCACGCCCCTCGCCTCCCAATTCCTTTGCCTCTCTCTCTCGCTCGTTCTCTTTCTATCTCTGTGTGTGTCTTTCTCTCTCTCTCTCTCTGTCCGCTTCTTCATGTATACAACTATAGAGCTCTGTCTCCCTCTCGAACGCACAATTTCCCCCCGCCCGTCTCAGTGAACAGGCACAAAATCGGTCCAGCCATTGCGCGCATCAGGACACAGGGGTGGGAGAAGGACGACTCTTCCAGAAACCTCCGATGATTGACAAATCCTCGGAGGATTGGGCGCAAACTCGGGCGCAGAACCAAGGCGCAATGCGACCACAATGGGCGCACAATCGGTGAGAAGGATGATTGGAGATCCTCTCCTCTGGAGCAGCCTGGCCGCCGAGCCCATTTTGGTCGCACTGCGGGGCGGATCCTGGCGGTGCGCCGAGCTGTCACGCACCCGGGGGGGGGGCTGGAGGGATGGAGGCAGAGGCAGAAAGGAGGCGAGAGGGAACGAGGAAAGAGGCAGGGAGGGGGGGAGGAACGAGGGAGGGAGCTGGAGGAAAGAGGCAGCGATCGGAGAGCCCAACACCGTGCAAACCTAGACCTTCGGAGGTCCGGGCGGATTTTTCTCGGGTCGGTGCCGGCGGCGCCCCCCCCTCCTGGCGCGCGCAGGCGCGCCACGGGCGGCACCCAGACTGCCACCACGTCTACATCTACACCCTGCGAAATGCTTAAGAAATCATGGGTTAAGAAATTCATTAGTCTCAGAAATGGAATAAAACCCAGCATTTCCATCAAAATCTTGGGATTGACATTGAAAAGTTAAGAATAATCGAGACTCTGGACGAAAACTTAGGTTTTCTTAAGCATCGCCTAAGGTGTATCTATGCACTGCCCCTCCCAGACGCTCACACTGGCTTATGAGAGAAGCCTCGGGGGCCTGGAAATGGGCACCAACACCAAGACAGAGGGTTGCCTCCACAGGGGGAAGAGGATCCTAGATTTTCGGTGTTGGTGGTAACAGTTCGGCCACCTTGGAAGCCAGAATGTTACCACCATCACCGAGATCGGGATCTTCTTCCCCCAGTGGAGGCACACCGCCGAAATTGGTGTTGGTGTCAATCTCTAGGCCTGAGAAAACCGGGACTGGGGCGCTCTTCAAAGACGGCCCTCAACGTTCCGCGTAGCTGCCGGGGGGGGGGCCCGTGCGCTGCAAAACGATGCCAAGCAACGCGGATCAACGGAAAGCGATGGAAAGCAATGCCACGCAATGGCAACCAATCAAGAATGCCAAGCAAGGCAACAGAATCCCACCCAACAATTCCAAGCAACGCAGAGCAATACCAACCAATGTAAAACTAAGGCCAAGCAATGCTACGCAATGGTAAGCAATACCAAATACTGCCAAGCAATGCCAAGCACGATCGAGCAAACATGTAAAGAAATGATCTCTTTAAGCAATGCCAAGAAACAACAAGTAATACGAAGCAGCGCCAAGCAGCGCCAAACAATGCCAAGCAATTCTTGGCATTGCATTGTTTTGCATTGCTCAGACCGGCTTCATTTTCGCGCCGTCTTCATTTCGCTGCTCCTCGCAGAACAGAAATAACAACTGTGCCTTCCTCCTTGCCACGAAAGAGGCGGGTCCTGATGGAAACGTGTGCTGGACCCCGGAGCGTTCCCCGAAATTCTTCATCCTGGGCATTTCTCTGGTCGCGGGTCCCGTGGAGGGCCCCGGGAGACCAAAAAGCAGCGAGCAAGCTCCAGAACCCGCCTCCGCCGAGATCCAGTGGCCCTCCTCCTGCTGCTGCTCCTCCCCTTCCGTCTCTTCATCTTCTCCTTCCCCCCCCCCCCCCGTCGTCGCCCTCCTCCTGTGGCATTCCTCCTCCCTGTGCGTCCTGCCACCCCCGCCGTCCCCCGGAAGCCTCTCGAGCGCTCTCGGGAGGCCTGCCCCCCCCGAGCCCTTTCGCGAGGCCGCCTCTCCGGGAGGCCCGGGGAGAGGCGGAGGAGCCTGCAAAAACAGGGATCCTCGATCCAAGGATTGCAAAAAGGATTGCAAAAAAACCGAAGGATTGCAAAAAAAACATAGGATTGCAAAAAAAACCCTCGTGCAATCCAGGTTTTTTTTTGCAATCCTTCGTTTTTTTTTGCAATCCTTCGAACGTCCGTCGCCGCACTCTTCCTGCTCCTGGGCCCGATCCTGGGTCTTGCTCGCCCCCTGCGCCCCAGGAGCGGGTGCCGCGACGAGCGCGGTGCGTCCACGATGCACACGTGTGTTTTTGGCCACGCACCTATCGGCGCAGTGAGTTCGCAAATCTGGAAGAGCAAACTCGGAGCCCGTCACCTATAAGGCTAGCTTTCATATCATTCGAAGTAGTTGAGTATCGATGAGCATCATGCTCAATTCATTATGATAGGGCCAACGTCCGATCGATATCGGTGAGACCCCCCGCAAGGAGAAGTCAACTCGGGAGTTGAGAAAACCATGCCACATCTTGCAGTGACCCTACTCGCCCCTTCTGTGCCCCTTACATTGGTGTTGTTGATGTTGCTGTTGTTGCTGTTGCGGTTGCTGCTGTTGCTCCAGTTGTCGTTGGTGTTGTTGCTGGTGTTGCTGTTACTGTTGCTGCAATTGTTGTTGTTGGTGTTGTTGTTGGTGTTGTTGTTAGTGTTCGTGTTGCTGGTGTTGTTGTTGCTGTTATCCTCCTTTCCCCATCTTCTCTCCTCCTTCCCTCCTTTCTCCACTCGCTAGCCATTTTATTCCTGCTGCAACTTTCCGTTTCAACTCCCCTCTCCTCCCGCCCCATCTCCCATCTTCCCCATTTCTTTTCAGCCCACCTGACATCCCTCTTCTGCCACCTCCCTACGCTCCATCCTCCCTTCTCCTGGCCCCCTGTCCCTCGTGCCCACTCCTACCTCCCCCCCCCTCCCCCCCCCCCAGATCCTCATCCAGCGCACAAGCCTCCTGCCCCCGCCATCCACCATTTCCTCCGCTCCTCCTCCTCCGCTCCTCCTCCTCCGCTCCTCCTCCTCCGCTCCTCCTCCTCCTCCTCCTCCTCCTCCTCCTCCTCCTCCTCCTCCTCCTCCCTCCTCCTCCTCCTCCTCCTCCTCCTCCTCCTCCTCCTCCTCCTCCTCCTCCTCCTCCTCCTCTCCTCCTCCTCCTCCTCTCCTCCTCCTCCTCCTCCTCCTCCTCCTCCTCCTCCTCCTCCTCCTCCTCCTCCTCCTCCTCCTCCTCCTCCTCCTCCTCCTCCTCCTCCTCCTCCTCCTCCTCCTCCTCTCTCTCATCCGTGTCCTGCTTCCTCTTCCATCCCACCTGCGTCACACTCAGCACCTCGCGGACTGCCCGATCCTCATTTCCTACTGCGCCCCCAGAATGCTCCCAACACTAGGGAGACGAACTCTATACACCGACGTGTTTTCCGACCCTGCGCTGACATTCGCACAGGAACGCGGATTCTGGTGTATACGGGATCCTGGTGCATACATGTTTCGTTGTTTCCCCTGGCAAACGGGGGCAAAAGATGCACCACACCACCCCGACGTCGTCCCTGACCCCAAAAAACTCGTGGGATTGAGAAACAACCCGCCACTGGTAATGCAGATGCTCCAGTTTGCGAAAAACGCTCCCGGAGCCCGCCCCAGAGCACGCGCCACCGGATGGCCGGGAGCGCGCGCGAGCGGTAGGCGCAACGGATCGGCACGCGCAGCTGGCAGGCGCGGCCTGTCGCAAGCGCAACCCATCGAGCACGGGGTCGGGCAGCCCAGACCCCTCGGGGGATGGACGGGCCCAAAGAAGACACGCCACCTCTCTCCTCTGCCCTCCTCCTCCTCTCTCCTCCTCCTCTCTCCTCTCTCCTCCTCCCTCCTCTCTCCGCCGCGTCGACTCCTCCTCTCTCCTCTGCCCTCCTCTTCCCTTCCTCTCTCCTGGGAGAGGGAGGGGGTGAGGGAGGTGGTGGTGGTGGTGCATATGTGCATATGTTTGGGCCCCTCGATGGAGCCGATCGAAGCCCCACCCCCGAAAAAGGAGAGTCGGTCAAAACCTGGGGCCGAGCATGCGATCCATGGTGAGCCGAAGGGCCCCAAAGGTAGCCGGGCGCACACTCCGCCCACCAACCGGCGTCAGAGTTATGAGCGCCCAGGGAGCGGGGGGGCGGGGGGAGGGATGTGGCGCCCGCCGAGAAGGAAGCAGGGGGAGAATGTGGACACGGGGGCGGGTGAGGGAGGGAGAGGGTGGTAGGAAGCTTGGGCGAGGGAAGGGTCGAGAGGAGGGGACGCATGCTTGTGTGGGGGGGGGGGAAGAGCAGGAAAAAGAAGAAGCAGGCGCGCAGCCCACCGAGGAAGGGGAGAAGGAGGTGCACGTCAGAGAAAGCGAGAACAGACGGAGAGTGGGCGGCGGGACGGGCGGCCCTCAGACCAGGGGCCCTCGGAGCCTCCTTCTCTTCCCGCCCGGGTTCCGTCCCCGGGCGGGGCCCACCGACACGACGCCCCCCAGAGCGAACTCGCCTCGGGGCCGGCGCCCCGCCTGCGGGCCCGGGCCGAGAGCACGGGCGGCCAGCTCTCGCCGGCCCGGGGCCGCCGCCTCCGAGCGGCCCTCCAGACCGCAGGCAAACACTGAAGGGGCCCCGGGACACACAAATCAATACACACAACTGAAACAGATTCCCCATATTTCCCCATATTTTCTAGGGTTATGTCTTCCCCCCCACTGCCCATATTTTCCCATATTTTCTGTGGAATCGACGATTAATTGTGCCTGTGTGTTTCTTCCCCTCCTGAAACACACTCATCCGACGCCAGCGGCAAGCGAGCGGACGGAGCCTGGTGCGCAAAGGGCACCACCTGCTGCAGGGCGGGCTGTGGCAGAGAAGGCCTTCCTTCGTGTTCGACCCAAGGAGGCTGGGACCGGAGGGCACGCCTTACTCGAGAGAAGCGAGTCTCAGACAGGCTTGGGCGACCTCCTGCATGGAGGCGCTTCCTAGTCGGGTTGGCGGCCCCGCCCGAAAGCCTGCGGGGCCCTTTCCACGGCCGCGTGAGGGCCCGCTGTCCTGGTGTGCAAAACACCACACCCACGTGGGAGCCATCGTGGCCCGCCGGCACTCTCCAAGGAGAGGAGATGGAGGAGGAGGAGGAGGAGGAGGAGGAGGAGGAGGTTGAGGAGGGGGAGGTGATTGAGGAGATGGAGGAGGAGGAGGAGGAGGAGGAGGAGGAGGAGGAGGAGATGGAGAAGATGGAGGAGATGGAGGAGGAGAAGGAGGAGGAGGAGTCTGAAAGGCCTTTCTCAGAGTCAGACCGTCCCCCACCGACTCAAACCCGTCAGCCGCGGCAGCAGGCAAGAGGGGCAGAGGCTCGAGGGAGGGGGGAGGACCTTGGGGGGCGGCAGTTCTCTCGGGGCCCGTCGTCACACAGAGCCTCGGGAAACCATCCGGGGTCTATCGTCTTGAGAGAACAAGTGTCAGGGTGATCTCACGTGCCTTGATCCACCACGTGCTCAATGACGCGGCTCACAAACTGGGCGGTCGTCCTCGCAAGTCTACAGAAGCCTTCCGACGCCAGGACATCTTGCGACTGGGCTGTGGCTCGCGACGCGCCCGCTGAGGCGAGCCGATCCGGCCCCATTGATACCTTGCCTATGGAACTGCGAGATCTCACCCGCCTGTTCATCCTTGAGGGCTGAAATCCCTTTGATATCGAGGCCTGCGTACGAAGTCTTCTCTGGCATGAACTCTTTTCCGGAAATGGGCCCTTGGGATTCCCAGAGTTCTGGGAAACAGCGGGGCGGGCCCGACAACCCAGGATGCCCTGGCACCCGCACAAAACGGAATACGTGCCAAACACGAATTCCGCGACTTGAAGAACCGCATGGTCCTCGCCATCCCTGGCCACCTGGTTCGGGCCGAACCTGGCCCAGGCCTTGAAGGAGCTCTCCAGAGGAGCCTCAAGGAGTCTCAAGGGACACTCGGGAGATGCCGAAAACGATCCCCCGAACGAGCTCGCCATCGCTCGGACGTCTATTCCTCGTGTATTTTTCGGCATCGTGCGTTTATTCGTTTTTCGCATTTTCGGCGCAGATAGATGGAACAACACTGCGAGGGTCTCTTTCAGAGCGACTCGCGTACTCAGAATATGTAGTCGAACATTCAGATCGCGTCGACGGCAGCCGCCGAGGATCGCGGTGGGCCTTTGGGCTTGCAGCTGCGTTGCAGCCTCGCGCCGGATCGCGCGGACCAAAGGATGCGGGAACGAGGAGAGCAAACAAAGAGGCGCTACAGGAACGTGGCCACTCAAAGCCTGCGCCTGAACATGGAAAATGAGGCGGAAGGGGGATGGGCTTTCAGTTAAGTCGGGCGTGTCCCCCTACAGGGAGTTTTCGACGATTTTTTTAAAGCTCAAGCAATGCTCCAAAATGGTCAAACCAGAATCAAAAGAATAGTCCCCATACTATGTTTTGGCTATTTTTGAATATTCCCCCTGTAGAGGGCCAGGCCCGACTTAAGCTTTCAGGCAAGCGTCTTGTCCTGCCCCATCTGCTGCACGAGCGCCGAGGCACCTGCGGGTGCAGGCTCGGGGCCCTCCGCGGGCCGGCCGCAGGCTCCCGCAGGGGGGCCCGCTGCAGCTCGGAGCAGCCTTAGTCTCCAGCTGCTTCGCACATGCTATGCTGGGGCTGGCAGGGGCGGGACCGAAGATGCCGCGGTGCACCCTCTGGCGCGGCCCCCCCTCTGCCCACCCCCTCCCAAATCATGGGCCGACGGGTCGCATTCGTCTTCGCGCGAAGCGTGCGAAGTCAAACCAACGTTACAAAAATGTTTTCCGGCTGAGCGGCCTCTCCCTCCTCCATCCCCCCACCCCGCGCTCCCCCTACTCCCTCCCCCTCTTTCGGCCACGGGCCAGGCCTCGCCATGCTGCTGATGGTTATACCTGCAGCGCAGCTTTCGGAGCCGTGCCGCGGCGCTGTCACCACCGCATTGCTTCTCCTTATTATTTTTCTTCTTCTTCTTATTCTTCTTCTTTGAGCCACTCTTTCTTGACCCTGCTAGTTTGCGCGGGGGATGGCGCGCGGATGCCCTGCCGGAAGAGAACTGGCTTCCAAGACTCAGGGGCGTTCGTCTCCATGGCCGTCGACTTGCAGTGGGCGCGGAAATTCGTCTCAAAGCCCTGCCGGCTGCTCCAACACACGTCGCATGCCTTCGCGCCTTTCTTCTTGGGCCACGCCTGGAAGCCCTCGAAGACGTCGAACAATCGGACGGCGACCTCGCTACTTATGGCGTTGGCGAACGCGTATCCGAACGTCTGACTCTTCTTGAAATCCATGGGCAAGCGCACCAAATCAATCTTCCCCATCGAGACAGGTGATGACAGCAAACCACCCTAGCCCGGAGCGGTGCTGAAAGGCAACTTCTAATCCAAGAAGCCAACGTTGGGATCAGCCACGATGGCGATACCGAGGCGGCAAGCTGCCACCTGCATCGTAGATATTCGGGATGCGGTCCTGCCCGCTCTGTAAGTGATCCATCCTGATTCTGTCGTCGCCCGAGGCTGGGTGCGCCAGGAAAGTCGCTGGAAACCCAAGATCGCGCGCGATCTGCGCCCGTTCCTGCTGGAAGAGCGGGCAGTCTTGGAAGTAATGTCTGAGGCTGGCCAACTGGGCCCGGCAGGCAGCGCAGGCCGCTGCTCGGCCACCATGCGTGGGCGTCTTGGCGGCGCCCCCTCGGAAAATCTCGAGGTGCCTCTTCGCGGTGGCATCTAGGCCCCGCGTCCACTTGGTCCAGATCGCGCGGCTGGACGCGCTCACGTCGACTTCGTTGACCCCCTCGGAGTCCAGGCGGCTTGCGTGGACCATCTCTAAGCAGCGCACCCTTGCAATCGCACGAACAACGTGGGCTGCGGCGGGGGAGCCTGTCCAGAAGGAGAAGTCCGAGCTTCGGACGGCACGCGTGACGTTGAGAATCTGCTGCGAATCGTTGCGGTCCACGAACACCTGCAGGCCCCATCTCCGGCTCGAGACCGCCGATTGGCAATCCCAAGAGCTTGAAATGCGCCGCGAGCGCATGCTTGACGAAATGGCTCCATGCCAGAAGTGGGCTGGCCAGGGTCTTGACTGCTTGGATGGCCGGTGAGGACGGCGGGTGGAGCTGGGCCCTCTGCGCCCACCACCTCCCCTGGCACCACCATGCGCACCTGGATCGAACAACAGCACGAAACAACATCGCTGGCGTGGTCTTCGGGGCTGGCGCCACCAAGGGGGCAGCCCAGAGCCAAAGGGGCCGCGCGTAGGCAGCCCCCAACGCCTCCCGCACTGCCATGGCCCCTGGAATGGAAGCGAGAATGGCAATCGCGTTGAGCAGCTTTGTCCATCCACCTCGGGGAAGGATAGGTTGACGTGGGTCGGCGGGCACGCGCGTGAGCCCCAGGTGATCCACGCGCTGCTTGTTTATGCTGTCCCAGTGCTGGCGTTTCCCCGTGTTCTCCACGAGCCCGACGTCGGCGTCGAAAGCCTGAGTGGCCGCAAGGCCAGCTTGTAGATCCTCTTGGTACGTGGGGCCCTTGGCACCCAAGCACCTGTCGTCCATGAGTGCCCACCCCAGCGTGGGGTCGGGGCGCCACGGCACGAGGATAGCCGTCATGGCCCCAGGCGCACAGGAGCCCCCTTGCGGGACGGACTTCGTCGGCCATATCGGCTCGGCGAGCTCATTTTCCACGCGGCACACGCGGGGGCCGCCCCAAGCGAGCTTGCACGTCTGGATGACGGTCTCGGGCACGGACTGTCTGCGGAAAGCGGCCTCTGCGATGCCGTGGTCCACGATGTCGTAGGCCTTCGAGAGGTCCATCTCGAGACCAGACTCGCAGGCTTCTGCGAGCCAGTGGCTGATCGCGTGCGTCACGCTCGTGCTCTTGCGGCAGGCCCACTGGTTCGGCGCCGGGCCGGGCCGGGCAGCCGCCAATGCAGATAGCCAGGCGCGCAGAAGCACGCTGGCCACACCAATGGGGCGCGATTTGTTCTCGCCTTTCTTCGGGATGCCGACCACCCTCCAAGGGAAAACCAGCAAGGTGAGGTCCTGTGGTGCCCGGCCGGCGTGCTGCACTGCATACTCGGACGTCTCGCGCCACAGCATGTACAGCTCCTTGACGACGAACGGGGCGACAGTCAGCAGCAGCTTGACTTCTTTTGACGTCCAGCCGTCGAAGCCTGCAGCCCCCTTCGCTTTCTTGAGGCTCTCCACGAATTCCTCTTCAGACGGTCGCCGAAACTCGTCTTTGTCACTCTGGGGGAAACTAGCGTTGTCCGCCCATTTGTGCCAGTTGTCGACCAGCGGTGCGCATTGGTAGCCTGGCGGTCTCCAGTGGGCCTTCCGTCCCGCATTGCGTGCGCATCGAACCCCGCAGCTGGTGAGGCAGCTTTGAAACGAGGTGTCGCGATAGCCCAAATGTCTGAGCTCCAGCGTGAGAACATGGCCGAACATGTCTGAGCTCCAGCCCGAGAGGTGATGACAGCAAACCACCCTAACCCGGAGTGGTGCTGGAAAGGCAACTTCTAATCCAAGAAGTCAACGTTGGGATCTGCCACGATGGCGATACCGAGGCGGCAAGCTGCCGCCTGCATCGTAGCTCTTTGGGATGCGGCCCTTCGAAGCCAGGAGCTCCACGAACATGTCCCGCGTGATCGCGTAGGGCACGTTGACAGCACGCTGGTGCGCCACTCGGCGCCCGCGACGCCGCTCGGCACCTCGAGGCGACCCGCTGGCGGGGGCAACAACGCCGGCGCCGACGACGAGGCGCGCAGCAGCTGCTGGGACATGTCGCCCTGTTCCGGCTCCTGGTACTCGATGAAGGTGTTCCGGATGACCAGCCTCCCGCCCAGGTCGGCTGGCCCCGGGAGCTTGGCGCGCCCTGCAGCTCTGGACGCCGGCGGGCGCCGGCTACGCGCGGCAGGAGGAGTATGCTCTCGGAGGCCCCGCGGGACCTTCGGCGCGGCTGCCGTCGTCCCTGCCCGCCGCGGCATGGAGGACAGGCGACCACGGCGTCCAACAGGACACCTGGCCCTCAGGGTGAGCGGTTGTGGCTCGGCGCCAAGCTTGAGCCCAAATGGCCACGGACGGCGTCGTGCGCTCATTTGTTGCAGTGTCCTCCAGGCTGCTCCTCGATGGTCCTTGCCGAAGAAAAACGCACACGCCCGAGCGATGCCACGACGAGAATGGCACCTCCACCAGACCAGCTCCCCGAGCCTGCGAGGGCCTCACGCCGTGCCCCCCCGCCCGGCGAGAGTCTCGCCTCGCTGCCAGGCGCTGCAGCCAGGAGCGCGCGTTGCTGGGGTGAGCTGCTCTCGGGTCGGGCGAAAGGGGGGGATAGCAAAGGGGGGGGTTTGAGAATCAGCTCACGCAGCTGATTTTCCCCCTGCGCCTCCCTGCGCCGAAGGCGGCTACGTATCGAGGAATGGGCCCCTCGGGGTGAGGCCGAAACCGGCTGCATGCAGCAGATTTCGTAACCCACCCTTTCCCCCCTTTCGTTTGGTCCGATGCCCTTCGAAGGACGGAGAGCTTCTCATCGGCGGCGCCGGCGGGCGCGGGCGCGGGCGTCGCCTACGGCAGGGCGTGCCAGGTGCGGGCGCCACAGGGCGGGTGGAAAAGGACGGGGCGGCCGCGGGAAGGGCCCGACCGCCAAGACTCGGCGAACGAGCCGCGCGCAGGGGGGGAAACAGAGCACCCGCCATCGCTCGGACGCCTACTCCTCCCGCACGTTTCGGCAGCGTGCGCTCATTTGTCGCAAGGTGCTCCAGGAGGCTCCTCGATGCCCCCTGCCGAGGGACAGCGCACGCGTCCGAGCGCTGCCGAGAGCACGCAGGGGCGGAGGGCGGAGGAGGGCCCCCCCTCTCCGCCAGAGGGGTCAACCCCCACCGGACCAGCTCCCCGGGCCCGCGGGGGCCCCCACCCGCCCCCGCCGCGGCGAACATCCGGATGGTCGCCATGCTCGTCTCCTTTTAGGACGCCCGAGATGGGCACGGGCAAAAATGGGTACGATGCCCAACAACACATGCTGTCCCCAACCAGCAGCGTCCGCTGCTGGGCAGGCGGCCTTCTGTCTCGAGTGGACACGGGCCGCGGCGGCGCGGACAGCGAGCCCTGGTCAAAGGGAACAAGAGCTGCCGTGGGGCATTGTACCCAGTCTTTCCGCACCCATCTCGGGCGTCCAGATCCTTCCCGGTGTACTGCTCGACCGGCAGGCCGACAGGGGAGAGCCTGCTGATGAGCTCCTCGCCGGGGCGCACAGGGCGGAGCGCTGCGGGAGACATGTGGGTCGTCGTCGTCGCCGCCGTCGTCGTCGCCGTCGCCGTCGTCACCGTCGCCGTCGTCGTCGCCGTCGTCGCCGTCGCCGTCGTCGTCGGCGTCGGCGTCGCCGTCGGCGGCCAAGGCCTCCGACCCCACCCAGGCGGTCTTTGTGAACAAGTCCCCGACTCGGCGTTGCGGCGCGCACGAGGGTGCGGCCCTCTGAGAAAGGCGGGCGGGGACCTCCTGTGAGTCGGCGACGAGTGAAACGGAGAAGGCCTTCTCGGAAGGGCGGCGGGGCTTCTGAGATGGCCTCCAACCTTCTGAAAAGGCTTCTGTGTCTCTTTGGGGAAGGCTTAGGAGACCTCTCGGAAGGCCGTAGGCCTTCCGAGCCTTCGGAGAAGGCCCGCCCCCTCTCACTTCGAGAAGAGGCTGATCTGGAACCGGAGCCGGTCGCGCCGGTCGCGCCGGTCGCGCCGGTTGCGCCGGTCGCGCCGGTCGCGCCGGTCGCGCCGGTCGCGCCGGTCGCGCCGGTTGCGCCGGCTGCGCCGGTCGCGCCGGTTGCGCCGGTCGCGCCGGTCGCGCCGGTCGCGCCGGTCGCGCCGGTCGCGCCGGCTGCGCCAGCTGCGCCGGTCGCGCCGGTTGCGCCGGTTGCGCCGGTCGCGCCGGTCGCGCCGGTCGCGCTGGTTGCGCCGGCTGCGCCGGCTGCGCCAGCGGCGCCGGCTGCGCCAGCGGCGCGTCGATTGTGATATCAACACAGACATCACAGTCGTCATGTCGCTCTCCCGTCGTGTCCCGTGGGTGGTGTCATGATCTCGTGGCGTGGCGTGGCGTGGTGTGGGGTACGGTGTGATGTGGCGTGATGTTGTGTGGCGTGGTGTGTGGTGTGGTGTGTGCGTGTGTGTGGTGTGGTGTGGTGTGTTGTGGTGTGTGTGTGTGTGTGCGTGTGTGTGTGCGGTGCGGTGTGGTGCGGTGCGGTGCGGTGCGGTGCGGCGTGGCGTAGTGTGTAAGTGAGGTCGGTTGCGACACCATCACAGAGATCGCACTTGCCATGTAGGTGCCCCATGGGAGGTGTCATGAGGACGTGATGTCGTGATGTCGTGCCTTTCTGCGGGGGGGATGCCCGGGCAGACTCCTGCTGGCCTTAGTCAAAATGAAGAACACGAGAGGCCGCGGGGGCAGGAATGGAGGAGGGGGAAAGGAGGGCCGAGAGCGAGGATACCACATCAGGAGCAACCTTTTTGACATCGGATCTCGAATGTCGCGCGGAAGCGTCGAGTAAACAGAAAAACTGCGTCAGCAGCCCGGGTGTGCGTGCAACCCCGGGTGCCTTTCTGCGAACGCAGCGGCGGGGAAAACGACATGCTTGAGCAGCTCGGGCATGCGTGTAATCCCGAGTGCCTTTCTGCGGGAGCATGCCCGTGGAGACTTCTGCCGGCCCTCGTCAAAATTAAACGCGAGAGGCCGCGGGGGCAGGAATGGAGGAGGGGGAAAGGAGGGCCGAGAGCGAGGAAACCACATTAGGAGCAACCTTTTTGACATCGGATCTCGAATGTGTGCGTCGCGAGCTACGCCTCGTAGTCGCCGACGCCTCGTAGTCGCCGACTCGAAGATAGAACAAGAAGGAGAGAGGTAAATCAACGTACACCTCACAACAATGCCGTGACCCCCCAACATATCGTGGCCAACGATTGTGAAAACCGCTCTTACCAATCTCATCAGGGCGAGGCATGCAAGATATTTGAGGCACCAGACGGTATCGATACCGATGCTTCATGGCCCTCTCCTGGGGTGCCTTCTGACCAGACTCCCGAGGCGAATCCAGCGGTGGCGACGAGGGCCTCCCAGGAGGCCCAACGAGGCGCAAACGAGGCAAGGGTAGCGGTATGTGTGTCTGGAGAACCTGGGGCGGATCGGGAAAGGAGACGCTGCCATGAGCTCTCGGTGGCACGGAGGGCGTGGCCCTGCAGGTAGGGGTGACCTTTGGTGTGCAGCTTGGGGGGGGGGCTGCGGGGGAGGGAGGGGGCCAGATCCAAGCGCGTGGGCCAGTGCCTGAGGGAGCCCTGGTGGGCCCGCACCAAAGGTCAATTTGGCGAAGGGTCGCTCTCACGCGCAGCTGAATCTTGGTCCTGCAGGATCTGCCTCGTGGCAGCCCAACGCGCTGGGACAGCGCAGTAGAACATGATCGACCCACGAACCCGGAAAGGAATATAGAAATGTAAGGCATTGTAACATTTCAAAGACACCTGATTGGGCGACGGGCACATGCAATGCTAAATGTATCGATGATGATGTACTGTGCCGAGGGCTGTGCTGTGCTACGCCGTGCTGAACTGCGATGTGCCATGCCGCGATTGTTTTCTATATAGCGTTGTGGATCGAGTCCTCCCTGGCATCCGAGTCCTCACCGAACTGATCTGGAGCGTAAGCTCGAGCTGCTCAGGATGGTAGCTGCCCCAGAATTAATCGACAGAGGGAACATGCCAAGAGGACGCGCCGCGGAACGTCCCAAGGGACGCGCCAGGCGACGTGCCAGGGGACGTGCCATGGGGACGCACCGTGGGACGTGCCAAGGGGACGCGCTACGGAACGTGCCAATGGACGTGCCGAGGGACGTGCCATGGGACGCGCCGCGCGACGTGCCAGGTGGACTCGCCACGGAACGCGCCAAGGAACGTGCCAAAGTGTATAGTTGAGTGTATCGATATTGATGTACCGTGCCGACGGCTGTGCTGTGCTGGGCCGTGCTGAACTGCGATGCGTCATGCCGCGATTGTGCTCTCTCTCTCTCGTGCCAAAGTGTATAGTTGAGTGTATCGATATTGATGTACCGTGCCGACGGCTGTGCTGTGCTGGGCCGTGCTGAACTGCGATGCGTCATGCCGCGATTGTGCTCTCTCTCTCTCTCTCTCTCTCTCTCTATAGATATAGATATAGCGTTGTGGATCGAGTCCTCCCTGGCATCCGAGTCCTCACCGAACTGATCTGGATCGTAAGCTCGAGCTGCCTGAGCAGATGGTAGCTGCCCCAGAACTAATCGACAGAGGGAACATGCCAAGAGGACGCGCCGCGGAACGTCCCAAGGGACGCGCCAGGGGACGTGCCAGGGGACGTGCCATGGGCACGCACCGTGGGACGTGCCAAGGGGACGCGCTACGGAACGTGCCAATGGACGTGCACCGCGCGACGTGCCAGGGGGACTCGCCACGGGACGCTCCGCGGAACGTGCCAAGCAACATGCCAGGCTGCAATGCTAAAGGTATCGATATTGATGTACCGTGCCGAGGGCTGTGCTGTGCCTGGGCGACCTGGACACGTGAAAACACGCGTTTCGCTCAAGACGTTGTCAGCACATCCTCATGCTAGACATCCGCTTGGGCAACCTGGACACGTGCAAACAAAGCGTCTCGCTCGAGACATCCTCAACAAATGCTCATGTTAGACATCCGCCTGGGCGACCTGGACACGTGAAAACAAGCCTCTGGTTCGAGACATCCTCAACAAATCCTCATGCTAGACATCTGTCTGGGCCACCTGGAGGCGTGAAACCAAGCGTCTCGCTCGAGGCATCCTCAAGACCAGGGCACGAATCCACTTGAGAGATCCTCAGAATTCAGGCCCCCAGGAGAGGACAATCTATAACACAAAACAAGCGTTTCGCTCGAGACATCCTCAACAAATTCTGAAAAACAAGCGTTTCGCTCGAGACATCCTCAAATCCCACCAGCCCTTTGGGCGTGAGTGGTTCAGCGAGCTCTCTCTGTCCTCAACCCCCCTTCTTCCCCTTCGGGGAGGGGTTTACCCCTCCCCCTACCCCCTCCCCCTGGGCCTGGAGGGGGTGTTCCGCGGGTCGCCGGGGGGGTCTTTTTCGACTCCTCGGAGGGCTAAAAAACGACACCCCTCACGAGGATTCTGGCCCCGACGGGGGGACGGAGATAAGGTACCCTCCTCTTCCTTGAAGCCAAAAACATTGATTTTACTACGGTTTTGGCTCCATTTGGCCCTTCTGAGGGGGCAGCGCTCATGCAAGCTCCCCCCTCCCGTCAAGGCAATATTATTGATTTTACTAAGGTTTTGGGCTCATTTTGCCCTTCCGAGGGAGCAGCGCTCATTAAAGCTCCCCTCTTCTTGGATCCATGCCCTCCAAGATGGCCCCCCGAAGCGCCCAGGAGGCACCAAGAGGCCCCAAGATGGCCCCAAGAGGCCCCCCGGAGGCCCCCAACCGGGCGCGCCGGGCGCGCCGGTCGCGCCGGTCGCGCCGGTCGTGCTGATCGTGCCGGTCGCGCCGGTCGCGCCGGTGCCGGTCGCGCCGGTCGAGCCGGTTGTGCCGGTCGCGCCGGTCGCGCCGGTCGCGCCGGGTGCGCCGGTCGCGCCGGTCGCGCCGGTCGCGCCGGTCGCCGGTGCCGGTCGCGCCGGTCGCGCCGGTCGCGCCTGTGCCGGTCGCGCCGGTTGCGCCGGTCGCGCCGGTCGCGCCGGTCGCAATCGCGCTGGTCGCGCCGGTGCCGGTCGCGCCGGTCGCGCCGGTCGCGCCGGTTGGTTCTAGTTCGGTCCCCTTTGCTCACTTCCCCCCCTCGCTCGCCGCCGAATGAAGGCGGGGTGCCTCTCAAAGCCCTCCCGGTTTTTGAGGATCGGGGATTTACTGACCCCGGTCGTTGCAAGCCCGGGTCACTCAGGCTTGCAGGATCCTGCAAGGTCCTGCAAG